CTGTCTGTGCACCATCATGATCCCTCTAGCTGAAAAGGACTAATAWTTTTTCCATATTGCACTCAGTACATTAATTGACATTTCCCACTGCAATATCTTCCTAGTTGAGATGTTCTGTTCCTGCAAACATCCTATCTGCAAAATCTTAGTTCACTTTATCCTTGAAACTGTTAATGAAAAAATCTCAACAGACCACACTTAGTGAGATCTAGGTAAGATGGGAGATTTAATTACCAGARAGTGTGAATCAGTAGTCTCAGAGGGATTCAGAGCAACCAGGACAAAATCCCTCTTGTGGAAAGTTGTCCCCAGGAACAAGGACTCCTTTTCCCAGGACAGGGGACTTCGGGCCCACAGGCTGCCCATTCCTAATTCTGACTTGCTTTACTCCTGRCAAGTCTAGGCAATTCCAGGGTGGCCATAAAATTAGAGTATTTTGTACATAGGTCTGTACTCCATGTGAGGCATGTGGGGTGATCTGACAGATCTGTCACTACAGAAAGTTAGCAAGGTAGTGGTGACTCCAGTAAATTTTCTCACATGGGTCTTGACTCTATTTTGTGGAAGTCAAGAGTAAAAATAAATTCCTTCTTAGCATTGATGCTTCCATTTTTATCAYGCACATCTATTTTTTCCCTTGATGAACAGTTTATCATCTTTCTATTTTTTACTTCCATTGGCATTGGACACCTGAGCTGCTCTTCTCACCAGCACAGAGACATTCAGCTCAGAGCTGTGCTGTTCTGTTGCATCTGGAAGGAGTATTTCCTATTTATGCTTGTCTGAAGTAATTTTTCCAAAGCCAGAAGGTTTTGTTTGAGAATATCAAATCCCTTGAAAGTACTGTATAATTATCTACATGATTAATTTAAGTGTCTGCCATGGCTCTGCAGTGAGCCCAGGGGCGTAGACAGGCAACCCGCAGCGTCTCGACGCCCGCAGCTTTTCCTGTGGGGAGAAGGAATGGGGTTTTGAAGGCTGCCTGCCTCCGGCAGCGTGGAGGGGCCGTCATCTTCCATCTCTGGAGGGATGTGTGTGCATGGAGGGGGAGAGCCCTCCAGCAATGTTGCTAAATGAATGATGGATGAGTTTTGCATGGAATGCAGATGCCTTTGAACACTCCAGCCRGCTAACTGCAGGATTGAAGCTGAAGTCAACATCAGTGCCCTTTGCCAGTGCAGAGGAGATTTGGAGACTTGAGCTAAAACTTAGAGCTGCTTCCAAGGAGCCCCAAGATCTCCAGGCTGGAGACACAGGCTTTTGATTGGGGGATAGTTTGTAAAGGATGGCCCATAACATGTCTACCCAATGTCAAAATTGGTAAATAGCTAAGAGCAAAACACCTTAAATTATTAGGCAAAAAGGGCCTCAAAGAATGATCTGGTCCTATCTTCTCTAGAGAATAGTTCTGGATCCTCTATGGTTACTGACATCRTTACCAGTGTTTGCTGTCAAAGCAAAGGGTGTCATTGTCAAAAAGGTGTAATTGTCATAACTCACAGGGTGTTACCCATTAAATGACTGCTCATTGTACTCCCACTAAAACAAAAAAATGATGTTGAAGGAAGTAAAAGTAAGAAGGATTGAAATGGAGATATCAGCTCTCTCGCACAACCCAAGAGAGGTTGGCTCTAGTCTTTGTTCATGGCAGATGTCTGAATCGCTGCAGAGGCCATGAGTGATGGAGACTCCAGCACCTGAGATGGTGTTCCCTCGTGCTTTGACATTCTTCATCCTTCTGAGTATTATCTAACCACTAACCTAAACCTACCTGGATGTGAATCACATACATTACCCCCTTGTGGGCAAGAGGAATGGACTCRTCTTCTCCTGGTCACTGTGGGGCATTTCAAAGTACATGAGGTCCTTTAACTTGTGCACCTAGACCCCATTTCCAATGCTTTCTTCTTTTCAGACTAGCAGGCCCTAATTTTTTGAGTATTTCTTAGTCACACTTTCAAGACTAGCAAGTCATGTCAGAGCTCTGTTCCAACTTTTGCTGCTGAGACCTTCCCTGCCCGGTGTGAAGCTACAGAAATACTTCACATGCCTTGTTGACTTTATCCCTGTTGGCACATTCTGGGACAATGACCTTTCTTTTTCTTCCSAACAGCAAGACTTTATTGACAGGAATGATTCCCCACAAACTCTGGAAATGCTCAAAGTCAAGCTGGGTGGGGTTCTGAGCAACCTGGTCWAGTGGAACGTGTCCCTACCCTGACAGGGACATTTGGGATCACATTCCTTCCTAACCCAATCCATTTTGTGATCCTGTGATTCTATTAAACACTTCAAGTCTTGCCAAAGATTTGCCACATAGCCAATCCTATCTAAGTGAGATTTTCCTTTTGTAGTACTCTGCATTTGTCCTTGATAAACTTCACCCTAGTTTTTCGAGTATGTTTTTCTGATTTTTGCCAAGATATTTTAGATGCTAATCCCGTTCTCCAGTGTGTCTGCAGACACTCCCAGCTTCGTGTAATCTGCAGATTTAATATGTGTACTCGCTTTGATTGTCCAGGTCACTAATGAATGTGGTGAGCAGAACTAGGCTATATAGATCCAGCAGAGCTCCACTGACAGTGTCCTTCTGTTTTCACAGAATGTCATTAATAACTACTCCCTGGGTATGGATTTATAGTAGTCTCATTTAATCATATTTCCCTAGTATGTTTATGAGAAAGTTGTTTGAGACAGTGACAAAAGCTGTAACAAAGCCTGGATAAATGACATCCAACAACTTTGCCATTATGAAAAGAAATTAATTTGATTTTACATTATTTTCTTCTTGCCTCCACTGTGTCTGCTGCTGCTTATATTGTTGTTCTCTTCAACATACAGGCAAACTGTTTCTTTGTTTGGAGTTTTTTAAGATGATTGAAGCTAGATTGACTGATGTAGTGTTCTGCTGCTGCTTCTCTTTCTGCCTTTGAAGACAGCCACTGCATTTGCTGTTGTCCTTAATTCTGGCCCCTTACCTGTTTGAATTCTCACAAGTGACCAACACGGATTATTTTAGCTGGTTTTATAGGGAATTTAAACTGTGGTTTATCCCACTCTGTTGGACTGGAAATACCTGACTTGGACAGAGGACTGATCTCCCCCTGGAACAGGCAGAGAAAAGGATGGTATACCTGTGTAGTGGTACTGTGTTGCATGTGTTCTAATCCCCTGTGCACAGTTGGTAATTTTAACAAGGACTAAAGCAAAAATGAAACCAGTGTTGCCTCTTTCAGTGTCATTTTTCAATAACTTTCTCTGTGAGCAACATTTTCCTAGACTATCTTCTTGGTATTGATATGCATATAAAGGGTAACTTTCTTTTTATCTTATTCAAGTTTCATTTCWTTTCCATGCCCTGATGTTTCTATTATTTTTGCCTATGTGTTCACACTATTTTTTTTAACTCCTGCTCAGTAACCTTTTAGTGTTCTTTCTTCTTGTCTTTGAGGAAAATGAAAAGCTCGTGATGCTGCCAAGTCTTCTGATCCTTCTGCATTGAGATGCTATTGTGCCTGTGCCTTTTAAGCACAAAAATATTGTTTCTTCGAGAAACTACAGCTCACCTTGATTTCTTTTTCCTTTAAATTCTTCTCGAATTCTCGCCTAGCAGGTTTTTTTTTTTTTTTTTAATGTACTGAAGCCAGGCATTTCTGTTTTGCTGTTCCCAATCCCTTGATTTTACAGGCATTCTTATATGAGTTTCTTTCCACCTTCTTATTCCCAACACACCTCTCTCTGAAGGCACTTCCCTGCTGATTACTTGACCCATCCATTATGTGAGAATGTTGCTCTGAAGGAGCCAGGACTTTCTGTCTCTGACTGCTTTCCTTTCCCTTTTCTCCTATTTTTCCTACCCTGAGCTTAACTCAGAAGTCCCTCTCACAAARCAGTGGGCCAGTTCCTCCTTTCCCAAGCTGATGTCTATCTCTGTTGATCCACTGATGTAACATCACTGTTGGTGAAGGTGCTGGTGTCCTCCTACAAGAGCATCACATGTGACCCTGATGTGTTGTCCCTGCCTGAGATTTYGTGGGATCACTTCTACCTGTCTAAGTAGTGCCCCACAGCCAGGGAGGTGGCAGAATTTTGGATACGCCTTCTGGGCAGCAGCATTTTGCAAGAACCTCCCTCTACACTCATTCTTTTGGGATTGAAAGCACTTTCTAGAGCTCTTCTACCTAAAACAAGCCTTTCCTACACATCTGCAAGAGCAAACCTGCAGGCTGCAAGCTTGAAGCTGCTGCTTTCTTCAGCTTTCCTGCTGCACAGATCACTGAGCAGCAGAGCAGCATCCACTGCTAGAAAATAAATCCCTGAAACAATCCGGTCAACCAGACTTGACTCGTGTCACGTTTTTTTTTTTCTTATTTCATAGATCCTAATGATCCCGGCAAAAACCCCCTGTGTCTCCCACTCTTTGTTTGCCAACCCCCAGCTCACACTGCCTTCTGGCTGCCCGTGTGCCTGCCTCTCCAAACTGCAGGAAACTGGGGAATTCGCCGACCCAAACCTTTTCCCGAGGCATTGGATAGCCACCTCCCTTAGACGCTTTGCCCACAGGGTGGCTGTGAGACACTGCTGCCACTAAGGAAGGGGCCCCATTGGTGTCCTCACCCTTAGTGTTTGCTGCTCGGTGCGGAGCTGAGGCGCAGGAGATCGCTGTCAGCCCGAACCACTGGCACGGATGGCGGCGCTGCCAGCTCCAGTGGCTGCCGAGGCCGGTGCCCTTCYAGCGGCCCTTGGAGCGGGTTTGGCAGGAATGTCCCCCCGGAGCTGCGGCAGCAGCATCCCCCGGGCTCTGCAATCCCKGGAAGGTCAGGAGCTAATGGTGACCTTTTATTCCCTTGCTGAGGAGAGCAGCTGGTGCCCTCAAGTGGTAAATCGCAGAAGGAGAGCGGCCGGGCCGTGCGAGCCGGGCCTTGGGCCGCTGGGCTGGGGCTGCCGGGCGCCTGCAGGGGTTTTCTCGCATTTCTAACCACGCTGTTTTCTTCTTGCAGAACGACACGCTGTGGTGATCGTGGTGGGAAGGACGCTTTGTTCCTGAAGGAGCGGGGAGCCCGGCGGCAGGCGGATCTGGGCAGCCACAGGCACTCCCAAACACTTCACCCCACAGCCTGCTCGTAGGGCCGGCCGTAGCCTCCTCACACCAAACATCCCACCTGGACTGTGCTCTTGGTCAGCTGGAACGCCCCAAAAACCTCCCCGAGATTTGATGGAGCTTGCTTTGGACCTGCAGTCCCGCTCCAGCATGTCCCCAGGGGCTGTGGGGGGCCGTGGCGGAGGATCAGGGAGCCGACAGAGGCCGGGGCTGATGGCGTGAGGGGATGCCCAGGGACAGCGATGCCCATCACACAGGACAACGCCGGGATCTTCCTCCCCCTCCTGTGCCAGTGGCTGCAGAACAGCCGGCGGGAGGGGGCCGAGGGAGCCGAGCAGCAGCTCTGCCGCTCGGCTGTCCAGAAGCTGAGCGAGTACATCCAGCTCAACTTCTCCGTGGACGAGAGCAACCTGCAGCCAGGGAGCTGCGGGACTGTGGATACGGAGATCTGCACCATGTACCTGGCCCARGAGATGCGGAAAAATGAGGTTCTGGGCCTGAGCTTTGGGAATATCCCTGCTCTGGGAGACTATGGGGAGAAGCGTCGGGGAGGAAAGAAGAGGAAGGCACATAAGGGGCCTGTGCTCGATGTTGGGTGTATCTGGGTGACGGATTTGAAGAAGAACAGCCCGGCCGGGAAGTGCGGGAGAGTGCGCCTGAAAGACGAGATCCTTTCTCTGAACGGACAGCTGATGGTCGGTGTGGATGTCACTGGAGCAAGGTAAGGGTGGGAAAGCTGCCACCAGCAGTCACCTCTGGTGCCGTGCAAGTCACAGTTGGTCCTGATGGAAGTCCACGAGCAGAGGTTTTGACCTCTGCTTTCCAGCCCCTGAGAGAGTTCTGGGTTTGTTCTTAAGACCATGTAGAAAATACGTAACAAAATCAAATTGATAATAAACCTAAGCTACTCACACTTCCACTGGAAAATTTTCAGAGGTCATTGGATCAAAAAATTATACATCRTAATCACCAGAGGCTCCTCACTAAAACAGAGGCCTTCATGGTTTTGTATAAAATTGTTTCCTTAAGCAAAAATGAACACAGACACAGCAGCATTGGAAGATATTTTTACAGGTGCTTCTTATTTTTACTAAATTATTGGAGTTGAGGGAAGCTTTTTTGACAGCTAAATGTTGTCTGAGGCTTTCTCAAAGCAAGACATTTTTGTGTTTTCCAGTTTAGAACAACTTCATTTTAATAAATTCCCTTTGATTTTATTGCATTTGCTCTCTTCTGATGTCTCCTGACCCAGAAAACTTGAAATCTTTAAGAGTTCAAATCAAAAATTAAGGTTCTTTTGGTGTTTTTTTAAATTCAGCTATTCCATGCTGTAAAATCAGTTRTTGTCCCAGTTTTGCTCTTTATGGGCTGGCAGACTTCCTCACATTACCTTTTGCAAAGGCAAAAACTTTTCTCTGCTGTAGATGAGGATGTAAATGTTCATTCATACCTGAGGTTGCAATGTACCTGAGGGCATGAAATCCTCCCCCTCTTGCCAAAAGGGAAACTGTCTTGAGGATGGACAGTTTTGGAAGCCAGGTGCTAGTGAAGTGATCCCAAAAGGCAGTGAATGTGGCAGGAACCCCTAATTCTATCACATGGAAGAATAAAAGCAGAGACTCCTCAATCTGTGGGTACTGGAYAGTTCAACCTTTTGTGGTTTTACATGAATGAAAACAACCCTTTTTAATTCCTAGCCTGTAATTCAATGAGTGTATAAATATTTGTACTGTTGCAGCCTCCAAATCTGAGAGTGTTTGTGGCAAAAAACAGTTGGTTTGTTGTGTCCCCTTTGACAGGTGTCACTGCTCTTAAATCCAGGGGCCAGCASTGACTTGCAGTGGCTAGCAGTAATGTCATTTTATTAATAGTGCAAAATGAGAGATAATAGCCAATGAAGTCCAAAATATTTGGGTATCTGTCCTTTTTGTCCTGTCCCTGAAGGCTTAATTTAGGGCTTGTTCCTTTTGGAAAGCTCTGTTATTAAACCAGCAAGCTGYGACTGCAGCTAATGGGAACCAAGTGCTCCATTTTCCTTACTTTTTTTGGGCATTACAAAGGCAGAGTTTTGGTAGTGTGGGGCCAGTGTTATTCTTAAAATCCCATTTTAGAATATTTTGCATCCAATTTAGGCCMAAATTTAGGACATTCCTTAGTCAAAACCTGCATTATTTTCAGCATCCAAAGCTTCCTTGCCTAACTTACTGTTGACTGCTATTTGACAAGGGTGATGTTGATGGATGACAGTTTGGGACCTTGATGCTCMCAGTTTGGAGTGCTGGCTTTTGCCTATCGGGGATCTGGCTGGCATCTCCAAACCCATGTTCCCACACTGTTCATCTGGAGTGTCTGAGGATTCCGTGAGAGTCTTTCAGTAGCTTTCTCCACGGGGAGACAGCTCAGAATAATCCTGTCTAGCTTTGTAACAGGCTGAAAGACAACATCAACTTGCCTTCTTCAGAGGGCTGCTTCCAAGAAGCTTTCAAGAATATTTCCATATTGCTGCTCTGGTGGAAGTTGGTTTCCCCTTGGTTTTTCAMGGTGTTGTTGAGGCAAGACAGCGCACTAAACAGTAGTCCTGACTCAGTTTCTGACTGTGTAATTATTCACTGGCTGAGTGGGAAAYCCTTCCAGATTGACACAAGGGGCTGTGATTTGTGGTGTGATGTACTTAGTGGAGCCTGCACATGGTCAGTGAAATTAAAATGCTGCCTTAGTTCCTGCAGCACCAGGCTGAATTGGGTGAGGAAAATCACTGCTTGTGAGTTTATTCCTCACCTGCCGAGTGTTCCAGGGCAGCCCCATCTTGCCTGATGAAGTTTTTTGCACTGATGATATAGGGAATATTCTGATCTATTCTCTTAACAGTAGAGGATTGAGGATCTCACAACTCTGCCATTTCCCACCTCTGCAGCAGAGTTTGCAGAAGTGTTCTCACCCTGGGCTTTATGTAACCTCACCTCTCGTTCCAGACTGCCATCCAAACTCTCCCTGTTTCAAGGGGCTAAACCAATACACAGACAACAGGAGAGGAGAGGTGAGGCCACCTTTTGCTGGCTGTCCTATGGATGTGGTCAGCCTGTAGAGGATGCAGGGGCAGGGGACTGGAGCAACAGATCGGGCAGTCCTGGACAGACTGGGCTGTTTTGGCACCTGCCTGGTTTGTGCCTGCAGGTCCTCAGGTCTYGGAGCGGTGGTGGGGTCAGACACATTGAGTAAGAACAGCACAAAGTTTCTTGGAGGAGCCAGCTGTGGGTACCACTCATCTGTCTCTCCTTGCTAGAAAATGATTTCTTTACAGAAAAGTTATTTATTTAAATTCTACCTGATTTCCATGTACACAGAAGAGACAGGTTGATTATTGCTGAACTTGTTTCTTTTATTTTTTTCTTTCTTTTCATTTAGAGAAACATTATGTAGTAATAAAATCATCAAAGCTCTTTGCTTAACAGGGTATTATTACATTAGAGAGGAATAATGTAGGTGGTGTCATTTTTGGTGATGTTAGTGATTGAGGGAAAATTATTGCTCTCTTTAGAGTTAGCAAATTGTGTGTGTCTATCAAACACAATTGCAGGGAAATGAGCTGTATTGGAGTACTGAATAAAGGTTAGTCAAAACTCTGCCTATTTATTTATCTATTTTCTGTCTATGCAACTGTATTTCCAAAATACGTGGGTTATGTTCCCCCAGACAACTTTCTATGTATTGTGGAACTACTTACTCATTTTGGGTTATTACTCACTTACTGGAGGGAGGCTTTTAGTATTTCTGCAGATGACAGACAAATCCTTCATTTCTTGAGCATAACTGAATGGGGCTTCATTGAGCAAGTCCTGGGAGGATTGCAAAAAAATTATTTTGTCATGAATATAATTCAGTTTGAAATATTTGATTATGGATTTCATCAAGCATAGCTGCAGTGCTTGGACACAGCTACCATATACATTTAATCTTTAAAATCAGTGCTAAGTAGATTTCCAAATTGAAATCGTTCTTGAAGAAAGCAGARTAAGATGCATTGCCAGTGATGACAGTGTGGTAGAAACATGAGATATTATTATAATTTTGWCCTTGAGAAAAGCCAGCCACTCCTTCAAAATACCTTCTTTCTCATTGCCAAAAATTACCAAACATTGCCARCTGTGGGAATACAGTCAGAGAAGTGGCTGGCTTCCTTTTAACCCACAAATTGGAGYTGCTTCCAAAAAATGAAGAGAGAAATGTTTTGACAGCCATGCCTTTGCTCAGTGCTTTCTTAGTCTCCTCTCTTCAGCCAGTCTCTGGGGGGAGTTGCTAAGACTCCTCCTCAGCACAAGAAACAGCATGCCAAATGTCAGGGAAATCAATTTATTTTCCAAGATGCTGAGAAAGACCTTCAGGAATCAGGACTGCAATGGAGGGGGAGCTTCAAGTGCCATTACTGAAGGCAAAGCTTTTACTTTACCTGAAGTTGAGGGTTTTCAGCAGAGCCAAGGCCTTTCCTGAATGCTTGTTGCTGCTCCACATCACATGTGCATGCCTCCAGGATAGCTGGAGCTATGAAGGTAATGTCCTGTTCCTCCTCAAAGGTCAATGCCATTAGTAGGTGTGTGACATATGAACATTCTAAACCCAGTCCTGCATCTCTGCAAATGCTAGCAGCTGATTACTGAGGGCAGCTCAAAATGTCTAATGAAACTACAGGTCTTAAAATGTGCACAGCACTTTGTGCTGCCTGCTGTGGCAGTCAGTAACAGTCCTGGGCTCCGCTGGGTGAAATCTTGAGGTTCTTTGTCAAAAAAAGTTCTGGTTGGTGCTGGAAACACATCATGCAGTCCCCAGCTGTAATCAGAGACAGACTGCCCTCAGCAGGGGTCTTCAGGAGGGTGATCTTCTTTGTTCCCTTGTTGTGATCCCTGCAGACAAGCAGCAGATCTGTACCTGCAGAGCAGTGCATGTGCTGTGGGGCTGGGAATGGTGAAATCTTTGCTCTGTSTGAGAAGAGATGCGCAAAAATCTGAGTGTTGTTTGAAAACTATTGTTTCAGAAGAGCACACTTTTCAAGGCACTTTTTTATTGAAATCCCATTTCCTCGGAAGTTTGAATGGAATAATGTTTTAATATATACTGCTTTGGTCCTGCAATAGAAATATTTTCCTGTTGGGAGGAACATCCTTCCCCTCCAAATGTGGTCACTCTTTGATATTCAAGTGCTCAAGTTTTGCATTTTCCRTGGGGCACTGCTTCCTGCCATGCTGTGTTGAGACAGTGTCACACTGCTTGCCGTGACTACTTTGTCCCTGCCCTGGCAGCTGCAGTTGTCTCCGGAGCGTCCACAAGATTTTGTTGCACTGTGTTGTTCAGCAGTGTGTTCAAAATGCTTCCATGTGCCCTGACTGACGAGTGGGATGGGAACCAGGATCAAGGACTGCACTTCCTCAGTGCATTAAGTGTGGCCCTCAGGTCATGTTTTGGGTAACAAATCTATTCTTCAGTAGAGTTGGGGTTTGGGGTGTATGAGTGTCAGTGTTACAGTGGCAGGGGATGGGTCAGGTTTCTGTGCCTATGATGGGATTGTATTTAATTGAGGTTWCTTGGGATTTATCTTCTGCTTGGCGTTGCAATCTCCATTATACATCCTTTTCATTACGGAAAAATTACCCCAAGAAAACTATCCCTGGTCATCAGAGAGAGCTTTGTCTCACTTCACCCCCACCTCCCAGTCATGTCAGGTTGCAT